ACAGTACTGCACGCATTATAGAGCAACCGTGTTAGATCTTATGGTGCCGTGTACATATGTTACTCAGTCCTCAATTATTTTAAAGAACAGGAGTAATGAGCTGGTTTAAGATATTACATAAGATAATGTATGTTGTCTGTAATAATGGCATTTACTGTTGCAAGTAAGGTTAAAACATCACGATGTAAAGATGAATAAACATGCCATATGTAGACATAAATCTAAATATAGATGCAATGGCACCTATGTCTCAAGCAAACTACATGCGCATATCCACGTTGTTTGCGAATAAGAAATTCTTATATTCGTATGCAGGCTATGTATTATATAGGCTACAAGTACGCCTAGATTAGAATGAATTTTGAACAGCGTTTAAGTAACAACAAAAAGTGTGATAAGGCGCTATTCCCTAAATTGACGCCAACGAAGCGAAGTAGCCTTGGCTTACAAGGTTACCATAGCAACAGTTCGCTGATCGAGCGCTTTGCCTTTGAAGTGCGTAGCCACAACAAAAGTAGCCACTGTCTTTATTTAGCACTTATTTTTTTAGATTTACTATTCACGCTGTTTAGATTCACACATAAACATCACAGTGTTTAGATTTAAGATTCACTTCTTTAAAATAGTAAAAAAAAAAAAAAATTGGGTCCATGCAAGATGAACCTCGACATAACATTGGATATGAAAAAAAAAAAACATTTAAAAGTCGACTCCCTGTAAGTCATTAAATAATGCGCATAAGGGAGAAACCCTATCTTTAAAATTAGAATAAGGCAGTAGGCCAAAGGGGGAGGGGACAAAAGTGAAGTTTCTCCCATTTGGTTCAACTCAAGCTATTGAAATAGCAAACCGAGCAATGGAAATCAATACAAATTCACTGCTTGTAATATAGACCCAAACTATGATGCGAGACTAGTCACATAGGGCATACATACTGTGGGTCTAAAGATGCAGACGTAGTCATGCAATTTGCTCCCCGTCTCCCCTGAAAATGCCTCGATTCGCTAATCCTAAATCAATTGCGTCCATCCTCGTGGGCTGGGAACTAGAGGCGAGACTGGAAGTCATTTTGATGAGGAGGAGGATGATGATGATGTTGAGTGAAAATCAAACACTCCACTTCAAAGTGTTAAAGTGTGTATATAGGCTATAACATCTAGTACCAATCCTAAATGGACTGATTGCACTCAATTTCATGCGAGAGACTAATTCTTATCTGTGTAGTTTAACAGAAATTGTGGTTTAAGAAAACACAGAAGGGCAAGAAGATGGGAAGAATTCCCATAAGGATGCTATGCAAGCAATTTAGAGAACAGGCCTTAAATTACATTTAGTTTAAATTTATATAAGAAAAGGGCAAATTTACCATCTCGTCGTGGTACATTGTGTTGTTTTATTGTGTTGCTTTTGTTCTCTCGCGCTCATGACTACAGGGGAGACTCAATATGATACACAGTCAAATCTGCATCCTTCCTGCTAAACAGTAGGTAAATCCAGAGTCCAATGATTAAAGTGTGTATATAGGCTATAACATCTAGTACCAACCCTAAATGGACTGATTGCACTCAATTTCATGCGAGAGACTAATTCTTATCTGTGTAGTTTAACAGAAATTGTGGTTTAAGAAAACACAGAAGGGGCAATGAGGTGGGAAGAATTCCCATAAGGATGCTATGCAAGCAATTTAGAGAACAGGCCTTAAATTACATTTAGTTTAAATTTATATAAGAAAAAGGCAAATTTACCATCTCGTCGTGGTACATTGCGTATATAAACACATTGTTTTATTGTGTTGCTTTTGTTCTCTCGCGCTCATGACTACAGGGGAGACTCAATATGATACACAGTCAAATCTGCATCCTTCCTGCTAAACAGTAGGTAAATCCAGAGTCCAATGGGAGAGAGTGCTGAGCCGGTATAACTGATAGATGTACTGGCAATCTTTATTGATCGCTTTATTGATTGGGCCAAATACATTTAGATGGAGTGTGGAATACAGCACAGATGCTGAGGCGAATTGTTTTTCATCATTAATGCAATCTTTAAACATTGCGCATTGCGCAGTATTTGAGGATTGCAATTTGTCTGTCATATTTACGCGTGACATGTCTGATTTGACATATATACGCAGCTTAATTTGTCGTTTTTATATTCTAAATATTATTATTATTAAATATTATTTGTGTTTGTTTTTAACTAGCATTACTGTCAAAAAAAGGACGCTTCAGCGGCCCAGAAGAACACTACCAAATGATCCCATAGACACAGGCATTTCACATTAGCCAAGCAGTGTCACTGTATTGATTTTTGTGACTGTGATGAATTTGGAATAGTAATTTGAATTTATTGATTGATGTAGTGAACGAGTATTCCCAGACTCTCTATGAAATACAACCCCCCAACTTCTACATGCGTGCAGTGCATAATGGCTCATTTAAATGCACTTGCTTTTGTTATTTGCATACCATAATTCCTCATTGAGCTAAATTTACTATAGATCCGAGACGTGCAAGGGCTTTTTTAAATAAAAGGTATTATTTTATTCAAAGAATGCCGGGGTTTGTCACATTACCGTTTTATCAATAGTTAATACACCTACACAATAGCACGTCAACTAAAAGCTACAATGTAAGACGTTTTAAAATAATTTATACCTGCGATATTTCTAAGATTTTA